AACTGAAAATTTCATAAAACAAACACTCAAGTACCACCAGGTAAAGAAGAAGAACACTGCCAGCATTTATGTGCCCATTACCAATTACAGCCTCTCCTTTAGCCTAGAGATAAGCACTATCCTGATTTTTGTGGTGACCATTTCCTTGCTAATCTTTAGTTTTACTACCTGTAACCAATTTATCTGTAAACAATATAGGCAGGGCATGGTGGCTTATGCCTGTAATCCGAGTGCTTTCAGAGGCTGAGATGGGAGGATCACTCGAGGCCGGGAGTTTCAAACCAGCCTGGGCAACATAGTAAAACCCCATCTCTACAAAAAATTTTAAAAGTAGCCTGGCATGATGGCACATGCATGTAGTCCCAGGTACTTGGGAGGCTGAGGTTGGAGGATCACTTCAGCCCAGAAGTCTGAGGCTGCAGTGAGCTATGATCACTCCATTGCACTCCCGCCTGGGTGACAGAGCAAGATCCTGTCTCAACAAAACCAAACGATATAATTTAGTGTTGCCTGTCTTCAATGGAATAATATTGTATTTTTTGTGTGTATCTTTTTTTCAACAGTGTGCTTGTGGGATCCATCCGTGCTACTGTGTGTAATAGTAATTAATTAATTTTATTGTTATAATGTAGTCCATCATATGAATATGTCACAATTAATCCATTATGTGCTCGTATAAACATTTAGATTATTTTTAGGGTGTGGTTATTATAAATAATGCTACTGTAAATATTCCTGCACTCCTGTCATGGTGTATATTTATGAGAGATACTAGGAGTGGATTTACCCCAGGTCATAGGGTATCAGTGTAATCAACATTGCTATATAATGCCAGTGTTTCAAAGTGGCTTATTAAATTATATTCCAGCAATTAATGGAAGTCCCCACTGCTCTATATCCAAACCAACCTCTGGAATTGTCAGATTTAAAACACTTTGTCACCCCAATGGATGGGGAATATCCCACTATGATTTTAATTTTCATGTCCCCGATTTATTTTTATTTTTTTATTTTAATTTTTTATTTTTAATTAATTTTAGTTTTAATTTAATTTAATTTTTAATTTTTTTTTTTTTGAGACAGAGTTTTTCTCGTTTTGCCCAGGCTGGAGTGCAATGGCACGATCTCAGTTCACCTCAACGTCTGCCTCCCGGGTTCAAGCGATTCTCCTGCCTCAGCCTCCTGAGTAGCTGGGATTACAGGCATGTGCCACCACACCCAGCTGATTTTTGTATTTTAGTAGAGA